ACAATTTTCTCAAAAACGACTCTAACGATTTTGATTAAAATCGGTGTACCATTGTAAAATTAAGTGGTCTTTAATATCATTTAGGTCTTATTCCCATTGATGTCACTTTACAGGGCTTAAATGCCCAATGTTCATATTCGCCTTCCTCTAAAGTACCTTTAATATGGTTTATTTTAAATAATCAACTATCTCTCATAATTAAAAGTTACGAAAAAAATCTAAATATAACTTTTGAAAGAATTTGATAAGTTAATAAAGGAGAACAAAATTAAAATTGATGAGTTAATAAAATATACAGGTCGAAAATGAATCTTCGGAAATTCTGGTCAGAAGGGATACGTATAATATACGTTGGAAAACGTAGAATTGTAGAAAAATATAAAGTTGTAGAAGGTAACGAAGAATGGCGTAAAAATATAAATAATAACATGTTTTCAAGGAAATTAAATGAAATTTTCTTGCTTAATGTAAACTTTTAGGTTTTTTTTTTAGTTTGAAAAAGTATTTAAACCCACGTATTCAAGACAATGACATTGTTTAAGATACTATTTCATTGTACTTGTGTGAAAGAAGAAGTAAAGTATAAAAATATTTCATGGATACGTTTATAATCCTAAATATATTTACAGTAGTTTAATAACTCTAGATCTGACATCATATTTAAATAATTAGTCCTATCGTCCGTTTTTCCGAAAAATCAGTATGCAAGCTTTTATAAAATTAGTGAATAATTTGATAAATTTTCCCTTTGCGGTATTCCAACAGAATCCACTTACAATTAGTGTGACAACTTTTGACCTGTCTATAACAGACAATGCAAATCTTTTAATTCCGTTTTAACAAACTTCGAAATGGAAAATAACAGTTCAATAACTAATAGTCGTACAATCCATAATCAACGGATCGTGCAATCCATAATCAACGGATCGAACAATCCATAATCAATGAATCGTACAATCCATAATCAATCGGTGATATAATAAATAGGACTTTTGTTATTTTAATTGTATTTGTGATTTGATAGCTGCAAACTTTTAGCTTTACTTCGGTTAAAAATGCAATTCAAACATTTTATAATAGCCCAACATGGCCAGAAAATAATTTCTATTCAAATTGAGCGGTAAGTGTAAGTTGTGCGTTGCGCGCAACCAGATTTTTGTTAACACTTCAAGTTATAATAAAAATAGATGATATTTATTTTCATAGTGTGCTCAAGATGACATTCTTATCAAAGAATGTATGTAAAAAAAATGAGTTACTTTTACAAGATGGTTCTTCAAACTCAACATTGTCTCTTTTGCGAATTGATCGAGGCCTATCGATGTCAAGATCAGTAAGACGATCTTTCGGTCCCCAATGCTATGATGCTAAAATAGAGCGAATAAAAAAAGATCTATCCATTTATCAGTCCCTTCCAAAATATGGCGAGCAAACCTGTTGACAACCATCTTATCTTTCTTAAAAGATCTACCTCTTAGCAGCTCTCTCCATAATATGACGAGGAAACCTGTTGACAACCGTCTTCTTTTTCTTAAATTCTTGAGGACCACACTCGTTTTTTATAAAGACTTCAATAATTTATTTGGGCGAGCCCTCCTGGGGTTTTGTTAGATACGTTGGCATGGTAAGTGGTGCTATTGTAAGAAATTAAGACTTTGCTGTTCTTTGCCCTTATCTTGTATGTTGGGGATAGCTGTTGATAGTTGTTGTTGTTGCTGATTGAAACAACAGCGCCGCCTGGAGGAGACCGGTCGATATCTGCTGGAGGGGGGGGGGGAGGGAAGGGGAGAGGGAGAGAGAGAGAGAAAGCCGGGAGGGAAGACGACTTTATTGGAGTACATTACCCTTGTCCTTGTCCTTAGGGGAAGTCCGGTTCGTCATCTCACGAACGTTCTCGTAGTGTTTCTGTGTTAGGCCATGTTTACTATCGATAGCCTGTGGCTAGCTCGGTCGATAGTTTCTTCCAGGTCATCGATAGCATGACGATACTTAAAAAAAAGACATGACATTAATGGTAAGAGCACAATGGTAACAAATCGATGGGTGAGAAGTGACCCCTCATATCCTAAAATTGTCTTATTTTTTTTGCATTCACATGATTGAGCAGGCTTATTGCGCTACAAAAATCTTTTTCAATTTTCCGGACTGTTCTCTGTCATTACGGAGTTATCCTTCGAAAAGTTGATTCCTCGTCAGTTACTGGATTCCAGAGGTGCCCAGAAGGGGGTTTCATGGGGGCACATTTCGACGGGGTTATCAATTTTCGGACAAACGAACAAGGAGAAAATATGGAACAGACCGCAGCAAGTGTAATTGTATATGATCTACGATTTTTCTAATTCTACCTTATCTTGCTTTGTTTTTAAGAAAAGGTAAATAATAAAATATCTTGGGACTAGGAGAGAGAGTAGGTTCGTGCGCCATCGGCCTTGGTGGGGATGGGCACCCCTGCTGGAATCCATGACAATAGTATATGTAGTCATTTACGAGGTCTCATATTCATTTACGAGGTCTCACCACTCTGTAACGTATATTGATAGTTCGATGATATGAATGGCATAAAAACAGCATATCTGCAATCCCGAATTATCACCCGATAATTCCACTAAGAATCCCGAAAACTCACTTCTTAGCCATCAAAATGTTTTAAAAATGAATAAATTCTATATAATAGAAAATATTTTGTTTGTTATATTGTAAAGTTTATAAAAAATCTGACAATTTTCATCTAAGTGTTGGTTCAGTATTTAATTTATTTATCTTTTATCTTTTTGCTTGTTCTATTAAAGCCAGAGTGGGTCCACCACTAAATAAATTTTGAACCCGCCCAGGCCAGATTGAACTAGTGCCGGTTCTGCATCTAAGTTACTAAGGTACACTGTAACGCACTGGACCTCTGCCTCGTGCTAGGGTGTTCACTAAATGGGTTCACCGCAGCCTGAGGTCCACTCTCATGAATTCAGGGGGGGGGAGGAGCAAAAGTGAATTTCATTAAATTTTTTTGAAGGAACACATTTCGATGGAGTTGAATTTTTGGAATGAAAGGTTACAGGGGTACAGGTTACCCGGAGTACAGGGGGAGGGGAACATGAACGAGACACAGCAACTGAGATTGTACATGGTCTATATTTCATATAGACCTGCCTCCCTCCATCACGGTTTCATCAATTGCTGGTATTTAATTGACTCGCGAGATTTGATTAAAGAAATTATATTATTAAGGGACATAGCTGCTAAAGAAAAATATAGCTCTTCAATCGTATTTATCATCTTGAGCCAGATTGAAGCTCTTGGTTAAATGTCAACCCATTAGGACTATGATTTTATTAACCCAACAACAACCAGCTTCCATCTCAGTTGATAAAGTGATTCCTTTTTTTATCTTATTTTAAGTTAGAATTAAATGAATTTAATTTAAAATGGATATTATTTCTCTACTATATATAACAGGTATTTGCTTCTTTTGCTGTCTTTTCTCATATCCTCCTTTTCCTGCATCTTTAGCAACGCAGCCTGACCATCTTATTCTTGGTCTTCCCAGACATGAGTCGTGTTCTCTGCTTTCTAGGAAACACATCAATATGCAGCATCATGGCGACATGACCTACCCCACCAAGTGTATCCAATCAGCAGGCACACAAGTCCTATTCTTCTTTAGTTCGTTACAGTTCTCTGCGTATTATTGTTGAATAAATGTCAACTTTTTTGTTCTTAAACTTCTTTGTGCTTGATTTATAGATCCTTAAAATGATAAATTTCGAAGTTTCCTCCGTTTCAGATTTGCACCGTTAAATACATTGTTTACATGTCTGTTTTTAGACAGAACATGATCCATTTGGTTAACTGCTTGACCATCTTGTAAGGCAAGGGCTCCCAACCCTCTTCCTGCATTTCCCCGCGGGAAGCAGCCTATGTCCCCGGTTCGAGCATTTCGAAGCCACGTCTGAGACACCTACCTCGACATTCTAAACGTTTAATATAGTAGTATTAATATTATTAGTTGCATTCTACAACTTGGTGTCGAATCCTTTCCTCTTCCACCATCCAGCCTCTGAGCACCATCAACTTTCGAATGTTGGCCTTTCTCTCCGTTTCTTTCCGATGAGTTGTTCTCTCAGCAGTTTCCTTGGCATCTCTTCATCTTCTTCCGGGTCACATTGTTAACCCAACGCAGCCTTGCTGTACGTCGGACTTGAGCAAGCACCATTGGGCTCTCGGCATATATCTAACAGCTTTCGTTTGCCACTCCTTTTCATTCTAGATTCTCTCAGATTTGAAACTCCCTCTCACTTTTCTTTGAAAGAATCTGTGTCTCAGAACCATAGAGGAGTCAGGCGTATGAGAGTTTTATAGAGATATATTTTTGTTTGTTTGGAGAGATCTTGTCTGGAGATCATTCGCTAAATGTCTTTCAAGTCTAAAATAACATCTTTTAGCTAAAACAACCCTATTCTCGATCTATAACGTTGCTCTGTGTTACAGTCGGATCAATATAAGTCAACTCAGCCAGTTTTTCAGATTTATTTGACTATATTCCCACTGTTTCTACTTCCGAGGGTGCTGCTCCAGTATACTGTACTTAGTTTTCGAAATGTTCATTTCTACTGCTAGTCGCTTAGCTGGTTCTGAATTATATGATCTTGCTGCTGGTGATTTGTACTATACATTGTACGTTTAATGAGCGAGTTAAGCAGGCTATCTGAGGCTTTGTACAGCTGTTTCCATTTATGCTGCCGTAATGTGCTTAAAGGCAACGTATTATGTACTAATAGTGATTAGTTTTGATGTTATATTCAGGTTTCCTCTCTAGAATAATGCGAAGACTGAAATCAACTGCTGATTTTCCCTTTCTGACGTTGCATTGGTATGAGCCTCGATTTAATCTACAATTCAAATATAAAAAGGCTGAAATATTGAAGATATGCCGTAATATGACGTTATGACCAAAGTATATTTGTTTATCAGGACAATGATGGTGGTTAGACTACTAACAGCAGTGATCAACACGATTGCTTTGCTGCTGACCCAAGCCGGCAAACTTGACAAACAACAACTATCCTTGTTGTGTTGATGTTGATGGCGGTCTGTGTTGCAGGTGATGTTCGGATGACGATCAGCCTAGAGGGGCCCGGGGGTGCCAACGTGAGCTGCGCGGCCAGCTGGGAGCCGTACCAGACCGCGGCGTGCGCCCTGCTGCTGGTGGGGCATGCGGCGCCGGCGGGGTCGGCCGCAGGGCTGCTGCTGCTGCGGCTGTGCGCGGGGGCGGGGGCCGCGCTCTCCGCCTGGGCCGCCCTCTGCGCCGCCGATCGCCTCTTCTGGAACCTCGCCCTCGCCCTCGTCAACGCGCTCCACCTCCTCGCCCTGCTCTACCGCCTCCGCCCCGTCAGGTTCTCCAGCGAGGTAGAAGAGGTATGTATCTTTTTTGTTTCTTTCTTTATTTGGGTAGTTCGTTGGTTATCCACCAACCGACAGAACACTTAATGGTAAAACGTTCCGAGACCCAAATGTGAGTTGATAAGGCGTCAATTTCCTACTCAGCAGGTGGTGGATGAAGATTGATCATGTTGGATGTAGATAAAGACCATGTCCATTACCCTTAGCACATTAGTACATTCCAATATGTTTACAATTTTATAAATATGGAAAACTCCAGATCCACTCAGATCCTCGGAGCTAACATGCTCTGTGGAATTAGCAGGACATCCATCGTCCTCAGCATGAGCCCTCAGCGACCCGAAATCTCTCCAGCATCTTTGTTGATAGTCATTATTCTTATTGTCTTAAATATTGGTTAAACCTATTTCGACCAGTCATCATCCACACGCTGCGCCTTTGTTTCGCACATGTCCTTGTCACTGGCCTAGAAGACGACTGCAAAATGGCAACTGACCAGATGCTAATGTGGTTATAATGTAAATGTAAATTCGAATATCTTCTAGTGTGGTCGAGTATTTTGCAAGTCTGCACGAAAGTAAATAGCCTACAATTTGCAAGGACTTAAAGCAAGCCGCCATCTTTTCGGTCCTATTCTACACAGGTACCAACAACAAATTAATATAAAAATTGATGGAATAGATTTAGATCTTTATATCCACTTTTTAATGTTCTGAAAATCGACGAACACATAGACAGGGCAGAATTATCAATTTAAATACCGCATTTTTCAAAAAATGTCTACAAAGTACTTTTAATTTGGTTTATTTGAATAACTATTTCGCATATTCAGTGGTATTAAAAAATAAAATTTCAATATAAATTTTGAAATGGATTTATAATTCACTGAAGAGGAAGTAGAGTTCGGTTGACCGAAGACAAGGAGCATGGCGGAGTGGACTTGCTCGATGTTCCCCGAGCCATAGCCGAGGTCAGCTGTTACATATCGGCCTCGCCTTATCCTAATAGTACGTCACCCGCCAAGTGTCTAATATTACAATAATAATATTAATAATAATTAATCTGTCGCATTATTAGTTGTTTTGAACTACGAAATAATGTCATTGATAACTAGAGGAGGAATATTATCACAAGTTAAAAACGAATATCAAAATAGTACTACAGGCATATACCATACCGTTGATAAGCCAAATATTTTGTTCAAGTTCACATCTAAAATAAGTAGAAAAAAAGTTAAAACGCATATATTTAATTGATTAGAATGGTGAAAAAAATGGCAATTAGTTTATTCAAATAAATAGATTAAATATGTTGTAAAATTATACTTCTTACTTTTTTTACCTTTCCATGGATATACCTATTTTTAATCAATGGTAGTAAGAAAATTTCTTTCACCAGAGTCTTAATGTTTGAGTCTTGCTGGTTTTGTATTGAACTAGCTAAATACATTCCTACTATATATACATACACTTTGTATCAAGAAGTAGGAATATACTTACTTCTCCGTATCAGCAAGTAAAAAAGAATAAAAGCATGCCCTGGGTTACAAAATAATTTAGCCGTAGTATAGTGAACCTGCCGCCAGGGCGCTTCCTAACGAGCTACCGCCATAAATATAGAATACTCCCGTACCGCCCCACCCTCCTCCTAGTTTATCGTTATGGCTAAACAAATGGTGATTTAACAGGGCTCAGTGACAAACCGTTCCTTACCGCGGGCTATTTGCGGGACAGAGGGACCGACATATTTCCTCCCACAGGCCTGAGGGGTTTCGCCCTCCTGGTCCCCCTTGTTTTGTTACCTTGGCCGGTATTTATCTATGTGATGTCGACAGCGTTCATCGGAACTGCTGTCATACACTTTCATAAAGCATGAGTAGAAAAACATGAAAACTTATTTTTTTAATTAATAGTTACTGAAGAAATTTTGAACATTTTATGATTTGTTTCAGAATTTAATTAATTAAATTGGCGGAAGTGGGATTTTTCGAGCCAAGCAGCACATAACCTTTAGAGGAGCACATAACCTCTAGAGGAGCACATAACCTTTAGAGGAGCACATAACCTCTAGAGGAGCACATAACCTTTAGAGGAGCACATAACCTTTAGAGGAGCACATAACCTTTAGAGGAGCACATAACCTTTAGAGGAGCACATAACCTTTAGAGGAGCACATAACCTTCAAAAATGCTAAGATTCTCACCGGAGTGGTCGGCTATCTCTCTTATTTTTCTTTCTCCAGATTTTCCATACAGCACATTCCTTGGCACCATTCTCCATGCATTCTCTCCACATGGTCCAGCCATCTTATAAGGATGAAGCTTTCCAGACTTCTCTACCAACACAAAGGCCCCTTATATCTTGCGTTGGATCTTTCTCTCCAGACTCCCATTATTCTTTCATTTTCGGCCGTTATTGTCTAAGTTTCGTTGCCACAGGCCCACCATCTGCCATGTATGATACCAGAGGGCGTACCATGGACTTGTACCCCACTGCTCGTGCCTTCCTTGACACACCGTGAAATTTAAGTGCGCATCTAAAATAGCATCTACATCCCGCTGTTATTCTGGCTCCAATTTCAGCCTTAACAGTTTTACTGTCGGTCATTAAGGAGCCTAAGTAATTAAACTCCTTCCATACTGATAAATTATGGCCATAGTCTTATTGTGCTGTGACGTCTGCTACTCTTCATGTATACACTCTTCTTTTCATCCATGCACAGACCCTCGCCGCAGCTGCAGCCTCAAGCTTCTCTAAAGCCCTGCCAGTGCTGGCTGCAATCTCCATTTCGTCAGCATATCCAAGAAGCTGTTAAATATTGTGCATCCCGGGATGGAACGTACAGATTTTTCCAACCTCGTATCAAAGAGTGTTGTGGTTTTCTTTTCTTCTGTTATCAAATCTCTCAATATCCTCTTGATTGCTTCCAATTACTGCTTCCAATTTTTTTTTTTTTTTTTTTTTTTTTTTTTTTTTTTTTTTTTTTTTTTTTTTTTTTTTTTTTTTTTTTTTTTTTTTTTTTTTGTACTCCCCTTCCTCGCCTTTAAGGCTATATGTGGTTTTCCCTGGCCAGGGGATGAGGGCGGGGATTTAAAAGATTCCCTCGGCACCGGGACGTGAACTCGTGACTATTTTTATATCATTTGAGCCATATATCAGTTGCCAGACAACAGCAGTGCTGTCACACACTTTCATAAAGCATGAGTAGTGTAACCTAATCTCACGGGGACGCGTTAGCCCGCTCGGCCACCCCGCCCACACAGCTAGATCATGTGCATTTTCTAGATTTGTATGGAATTATTCAGAGGTGCTCCCTATATTGCAGGGCTAAGTCCTTCCCCCTACATCAAACCTGTTAGAACTTCAGATACTTCTTGTTGTGTTATGCCTCAGCATTTAGCATCATTTGTAAACGCCTAGGCCAATCATGTTGAAGTCTCAGTATTCCCAAGCTCAGTTATGACTTTCTAAAGACAGTTTCTGTACACGAAATCATTAGTTGCTATCAAATCGACAAGGCATATCCAGCTGATCTAGCGTTTTCCTTCCTCTTTCGGATCCTGCTTGGCGATGATCATTTTTTGTATTTCTTACTTGTTTAATGGTTGATCATCATCGGACGATGAAAAAATTGGTATTTTTTCCTGAACTGTCGATTAAATAAAATCTGAGAAAAAAATAAAGGACGTGTTTATTTTACTTTTGAAAATAATTCATTTATATCGATAAAAGGGGAGCCTTTATTGATTGAATAACCGTAAATTTTATGCTTACCGTTATTTGTTTTGCTTTATAGCTGTTATTTTGATTTATCCATAGAACTGCACTAAAGGAGTCGTTTGCCGTCCAAGTCAATAAATTTTCATCAGGTAACACGCTGCTGTTTATGCTCTCCTTTCCTAAAGTGTATATTCCACCATGATGATATTTATTCTTAATATATTTCTGCAATAAAGTTTATTTCTTTAGTTTTTATTTTTATCAAAATATGTGGTCTGTAACCTATTTTGATATGTACCAACCATTTTGATTTCTTTTTCTAACGAGTCGTAGCTCAAGAAACAACTTTGTGAGTTCAGACTTTACTCCATCGTTATCGTTACTTCCGCTCTTTGGATTCGACTGAAGAATGACACAAAGTTTAAAATCTTATAAACTCCCTTTCCGTATCTTTTTTTTTTATTATTATTTTTTTTTATTTGTTCTTCCCTACCTCACCTTTTTAGGCTATACGGGATTTTCTCGGGCCGGGGGGTGAGGGCGGGAAATTTAAAATACCCTTCGGCACCGGGTCGCGAACTCGTACTATTTTTTTATCTCTCAAAACTTCATATATCTGGTTGTCAGGCAACTCGCGGTGCTGTGCACACACGCTTTAGCCCATTCGGCCACCCCGCCCCTTTCCGTATCTGTACTGCCTATTACATTTCACAGGCATTATAACCTTAATAACTCACAGAATTCGATTAAATCAATACTACATATTTACCATTCCCCGAATTTCTTCCAACATTGGGCAATCGGAACGAGCTGTGATCAAAAAGAAAATAGTTCTGCACATGCGTTAGGATGATGTTTTTTTTTTTAAATTGGATAGAATCTGATGAAATAGATACTTGACCATTTTTTCTCGAAGACGAAAGCAAATCGACATATTTCATAGATGCCTCTAAATACGGAACTTATTTTTTTGCCAATAACTTTCCCTGCTTAGACAATAGGCCATTAGAGCGCGGGCAGGATCGGAAATAATGAAGCACACATGGTGTTAGCTCTCCTTGACGGAGCCTTCAACGCGAAGGACTTCGAGGCGATAGAGAACGTAATTAGTCAATATTATAACTGCAGATTATGCTAACGACATATTTTCATTGTCATAATATGATAAAATATGATAACAACACGTTATGTAAAGGATAAGTGTGATAATTATCCCGTAATGGTTGAATGTGTACTTCTATTGACCACGGTGTTGGTAGTGTTCTGAAGGGATATATTTTATCCGATGTGGGAAATATATATGAATAAATGGTCAGTGATGAGTTTTTTTGATTTGTATATCTTGAACCAGCCGAGGAAACCGAATTTCCAAATCAAATTTCTTTCGAGAGAATTTCCTGTGACTTTTCCTTGCAGGTGTGGAAAACGTCGTTAGGTGATATATATTTTTGTTATCAAAATATATGATGTAGTAAAAACATTTTCAATCGTTGGGAAATATACCCAAAAATTCAAAAGGAAGCCTCGTGTATTTTTTTAACTTTAATTGACAAATTATGTTTATAACGAGTTATATAAATTATGATCATCTAACTAAACTTACACTGTTTTTTTTTTTTTTTTTTTTTGGTTGTTCCCTTTCTCGCATTTTATACTATAAGTGGGTTTTCCCGACCAGAGGGTGAGGGCGGGGGATTAATGCCATAGTTGAAATTATCCCGTCACCGGCACGCGAACTTGTTCATGTCATATTTATCTTCCCGTATTCGATCCTCCGTAAAATGTTTCAAGCTACTTTTTATGTTCCAAATAAAATTATGCATAATGACCTCAGCATTTCTTTTGTTGAAGACTTGGCACGAATTAGAGCTTGTTCTTTTAGTTCCAAACTTTTTGGTCACCCCAACCCTCTAGCTCATAACGTTTCATCCAAACAATTCCTGAAAATCCTCCGAGAAAGAAAGACTAAGGAATGAAGATGACTAAGCAACCTCCTAAATTAATATAATCCTTAATTAAGTGTTACCAAGTAGCTGGGTAGCTTATTCACAAGTACTTATCATGTTTTATATTATTTTATCAGATTCACTTGTTGTATTTTTGTATACAGTTCTAAATATCAATAAATGAATTTTTTAAAATTAATTTTCTGTACCCGGGAAGAAAAGAACATCATGTCGCACTTATTGTATTTTGCTGAGGGGAGCCAATGTTCTATTAGTTTGAGCTATTAAAATTTGTTTCTCAGTTACTAAATCTGTGCCCCAGAGGTATACGAGACCATGTTATATTTTTGGAAATGTTACATTTAAATTTGAACTTTGAAAAATTACTGTCTTAGTTCCTAAATTATTTAATAAAAAAAAAATAGACATAGTGTCCATTTACGTCCGGGGCACAGATGTCATTATTTCGTTGAGGGCCGCCGAAGCGGAATACTTTGCCTCTGGTTTCAATCTGTTTAACTTTATATATATATATATATATATATATATATATATATATATATATATATATATATATATATATATATATATATATATTTATATATATACAGAGACAGAGAGAGAGAGAGCTGTAATAGATTGTTGGTACCGGGAGAACGCTGAGTATTGACGAAGCAAACCCACGCATTCTTTGCCCCAGCATCAGCTCTGACCTCAACTCTATTACCTCCCGTCGGGTGATTTGTCCTCTCCACATCCTCTAATACAGTTCCTCCTCTTGTCCCAGTCCTCCACTTCTTATGCTCCAGTACAGTAGATATCAATTACTTGGTCAGTTATAGCAGGGTCTCTTTTCACTTTTCGGCCCGTGAGAACCCCACCAAGTCCCGCGGGCTGCATCAGCTCATCATAAACCTCCATTAACAAGTCCCGGTTTATGATGAAAAACCAACAAATTTCATATTTTTAAATATTAAATAATTTTTACAATGTTACCATGTAATTAAAGAAATCTTCGCGGGCCGTAGTTTCGAGACCCTGAGTTATGTAGTGAACTGAACGAAATTCAGCATCACCAATTGGTAAAATAGCAAGTTATTTGCCGCCAACTCCTTAAATGAAAAATATGTATGCCATATAATTTAGCTTAAAGATTTTTAAACTATATATATATATATATGTATGTATATGTAAATACACACCTACATTCACATATATATTCTGGCTTAGGCCTCGCCCAACTTTCACCTGACTACTTTAACAAGTTTGAATATTCGTAGATGTCAATTACCGTATCGACCTGTTAAGATGTTTAAGCAGATATCGAAGTGTATATTCCATATATATGGACTATATATCAAGTATATGTATGGTATATATTCCATATATATGGACTATATATCAAGTATATATATGGTATATATTCCATATATATGGATCTATATATCAAGTATATTCCCTCAGGGTGGATAGAATTTACCAATTTCTGTAGTCGGTTTTTTAAAGTTATTTTTATTTTTTTATTACTAACAATGAAAGGCGGTCGTTTATTTGAAACAAACCATAAACCATAGTAAAGGAATAATTTGCCATTTATGCAATATCAGAAAATATTAATGGAGGTAAGACCTACCCGACTTAAAAAACCTTTTACTTTAATTTTACGTCGATCTAACATTTTTAATGAATATCATTTGAGCTGTTTTAGAGAAAAATCTAAAAAAGTGTAAAATCTATTATATAAATGACCACATCCGGTGATATTTTACGAGTTGAATACTGTTCATACACACCATTTTAGACTTGATTTTTTGAACTCAGTGAACATTAAAACATACATACCCGTACTCTCCCGTTCCAGATATTTAGTGTATAGAGACGTAAAAGAGAAAATACAAGACATTTTATTATTGATATACAACAATGACAGTCGCAATGTGGATGGCGGTGGTGGGACATACGTTTTGAGGAGGCGGGCCATCAGGAGCCGAAAAGTGTGTGTAGGCTGAACACCAAGGACCCGCTTCTCTAAGAAACATGTTCAGATCAAATATCCTGCCTGACTCATACGTCGCAGCTCCTCATGCTAACTATTTGATATTAATGTGTTCACTCCAACTTCTATCAGGTCGATAATCAATCGCCTTATGTATAACTTATTTCGAGGCTAACAACAATAAACTGGTGTAATAAAGGAAATATCGATTTAATTGGAAATTATATAAGATTATAAGTGTATTCCCGAAGGTATGAAAGAAAACAATTTAGCGAAAATAAAAATGTGCTTATAATATTTCACAAATTATTACTAAATGGAAGGATTGACAAACAGTCTGGGCGGGGAAGGAAGAAAAAGAGTGAGTGAGCAGGAATAGTTCAGAAACAGAGAAAGGTCTTTAATAGTCCCTCTCCATCCCGTTTGCAATTATCCCGTCGTGGTAGCTGTATCTTGAAGCAGCAATGACTGCGACAACAGCTCTGCAGCCTCTCGTTGCAGTACAAGATGCCCTCTCGAGAGCAGTGGTAAGCCGGTGTGGCGTGCAGTACTCTCCATTCCGTTTGCAATTATCCCCTCGAGGTAGCTGTATCTTGAAGCAGCAATGACTGCGACAACAGCTCTGCAGCCTCTCGTTGCAGTACAAAATGCCCTCTCGAGAGCAGTAGAACCCGGTGTGGCGTGCAGTACTCTCCATTCCGTTTGCAATTATCCCCTCGAGGTAGCTGTATCTTGAAGCAGCAATGACTGCGACAACAGCTCTGCAGCCTCTCGTTACAGTACAAAATGCCCTCTCGAGAGCAGTGGTAACCCGGTGTGGCGTGCAGTACTCTCCATTCCGTTTGCAATTATCCCCTCGAGGTAGCTGTATCTTGAAGCAGCAATGACTGCGACAACAGCTCTGCAGCCTCTCGTTGCAGTACAAGATGCCCTCTCGAGAGCAGTGGTAACCCGGTGTGGCGTGCAGTACTCTCCATTCCGTTTGCAATTATCCCCTCGAGGTAGCTGTATCTTGAAGCAGCAATGACTGCGACAACAGCTCTGCAGCCTCTCGTTGCAGTACAAAATGCCCTCTCGAGAGCAGTGGTAACCCGGTGTGGCGTGCAGTACTCTCCATTCCGTTTGCAATTATCCCCTCGAGGTAGCTGTATCTTGAAGCAGCAATGAATGCGACAACAGCTCTGCAGCCTCTCGTTGCAGTACAAAATGCCCTCTCGAGAGCAGTGGTAACCCGGTGTGGCGTGCAGTACTCTCCATTCCGTTTGCAATTATCCCCTCGAGGTAGCTGTATCTTGAAGCAGCAATGACTGCGACAACAGCTCTGCAGCCTCTCGTTGCAGTACAAAATGCCCTCTCGAGAGCAGTGGTAACCCGGTGTGGCGTGCAGTACTCTCCATTCCGTTTGCAATTATCCCCTCGAGGTAGCTGTATCTTGAAGCAGCAATGACTGCGACAACAGCTCTGCAGCCTCTCGTTGCAGTACAAAATGCCCTCTCGAGAGCAGTGGTAACCCGGTGTGGCGTGCAGTACTCTCCATTCCGTTTGCAATTATCCCCTCGAGGTAGCTGTATCTTGAAGCAGCAATGACTGCGACAACAGCTCTGCAGCCTCTCGTTGCAGTACAAAATGCCCTCTCGAGAGCAGTGGTAACCCGGTGTGGCGTGCAGTACTCTCCATTCCGTTTGCAATTATCCCCTCGAGGTAGCTGTATCTTGAAGCAGCAATGACTGCGACAACAGCTCTGCAGCCTCTCGTTGCAGTACAAAATGCCCTCTCGAGAGCAGTGGTAACCCGGTGTGGCGTGCAGTACTCTCCATTCCGTTTGCAATTATCCCCTCGAGGTAGCTGTATCTTGAAGCAGCAATGACTGCGACAACAGCTCTGCAGCCTCTCGTTGCAGTACAAAATGCCCTCTCGAGAGCAGTGGTAACCCGGTGTGGCGTGCAGTACTCTCCATTCCGTTTGCAATTATCCCCTCGAGGTAGCTGTATCTTGAAGCAGCAATGACTGCGACAACAGCTCTGCAGCCTCTCGTTGCAGTACAAAATGCCCTCTCGAGAGCAGTGGTAACCCGGTGTGGCGTGCAGTACTCTCCATTCCGTTTGCAATTATCCCCTCGAGGTAGCTGTATCTTGAAGCAGCAATGACTGCGACAACAGCTCTGCAGCCTCTCGTTGCAGTACAAAATGCCCTCTCGAGAGCAGTGGTAACCCGGTGTGGCGTGCAGTACTCTCCATTCCGTTTGCAATTATCCCCTCGAGGTAGCTGTATCTTGAAGCAGCAATGACTGCGACAACAGCTCTGCAGCCTCTCGTTGCAGTACAAAATGCCCTCTCGAGAGCAGTGGTAACCCGGTGTGGCGTGCAGTACTCTCCATTCCGTTTGCAATTATCCCCTCGAGGTAGCTGTATCTTGAAGCAGCAATGACTGCGACAACAGCTCTGCAGCCTCTCGTTGCAGTACAAAATGCCCTCTCGAGAGCAGTGGTAACCCGGTGTGGCGTGCAGTACTCTCCATTCCGTTTGCAATTATCCCCTCGAGGTAGCTGTATCTTGAAGCAGCAATGACTGCGACAACAGCTCTGCAGCCTCTCGTTGCAGTACAAAATGCCCTCTCGAGAGCAGTGGTAACCCGGTGTGGCGTGCAGTACTCTCCATTCCGTTTGCAATTATCCCCTCGAGGTAGCTGTATCTTGAAGCAGCAATGACTGCGACAACAGCTCTGCAGCCTCTCGTTGCAGTACAAGATGCCCTCTCGAGAGCAGTGGTAACCCGGTGTGGCGTGCAGTACTCTCCATTCCGTTTGCAATTATCCCCTCGAGGTAGCTGTATCTTGAAGCAGCAATGACTGCGACAACAGCTCTGCAGCCTCTCGTTGCAGTACAAGATGCCCTCTCGAGAGCAGTGGTAACCCGGTGTGGCGTGCAGTACTCTCCATTCCGTTTGCAATTATCCCCTCGAGGTAGCTGTATCTTGAAGCAGCAATGACTGCGACAACAGCTCTGCAGCCTCTCGTTGCAGTACAAAATGCCCTCTCGAGAGCAGTGGTAACCCGGTGTGGCGTGCAGTACTCTCAATTCCGTTTGCAATTATCCCCTCGAGGTAGCTGTATCTTGAAGCAGCAATGACTGCGACAACAGCTCTGCAGCCTCTCGTTGCAGTACAAGATGCCCTCTCGAGAGCAGTGGTAACCCGGTGTGGCGTGCAGTACTCTCCATTCCGTTTGCAATTATCCCCTCGAGGTAGCTGTATCTTGAAGCAGCAATGACTGCGACAACAGCTCTGCAGCCTCTCGTTGCAGTACAAGATGCCCTCTCGAGAGCAGTGGTATCCCGATGTGGCGTGCAGTACTCTCCATTCCGTTTGCAATTATCCCCTCGAGGTAGCTGTATCTTGAAGCAGCAATGACTGCGACAACAGCTCTGCAGCCTCTCGTTGCAGTACAAAATGCCCTCTCGAGAGCAGTGGTAACCCGGTGTGGCGTGCAGTACTCTCCATTCCGTTTGCAATTATCCCCTCGAGGTAGCTGTATCTTGAAGCAGCAATGACTGCGACAACAGCTCTGCAGCCTCTCGTTGTAGTACAAGATGCCCTCTCGAGAGCAGTGGTAACCCGGTGTGGCGTGCAGTACTCTCCATTCCGTTTGCAATTATCCCCTCGAGGTAGCTGTATCTTGAAGCAGCAATGACTGCGACAACAGCTCTACAGCCTCTCGTTGCAGTACAAGATGCCCTCTCGAGAGCAGCGGTAAGGTGGTGTGGTGTGGCGTGCAGTGCGAACCGAGCCACTGCAGTGCAGCCGTCATTACTGTCCGCTCTCCTCTCGGCTCGGGATCCTCTACCTCGTTGTAATTATACCTCTTTGGATCAACGGAGCTATCTGCAAACCTGTATTAATTATCATTGCGACACTTCCTCAAGTTAAGCGACAACCATAGCAGAGCAAAACATTTTTTTGTCATTATAAAAGAATTCTAAATGTTAATATATGTGATAACATTGTCGAGGAGATGTTAGTTGATTTAAAATTATTACCCGCGAGTACCGTTTTACCCGTTTTTTTATTTATTTATTATTTCAATTTTACATGACGTGTTTTTTATTAAGTGTTAACCCCTTGCCTCGTACATGTAAATCGCAGTAGATAAGTGCTGAGAACAGAAAGTATACATCTGCTTGAATATTGCAGTTAATAATTATAAGAATAATAAAATTGACTAAAAGAAGAAAAAAAAAAACTATCGGAATGCTCATGGAAATTTGTGGAATAATGTATATAAGACCTGTTATTAGTTTTTATTTGCCAATTAGAATGAATGGTATTATTAAGAATATGGTGGATGTCAGATAAGGGTGGCAGTAAACATATTTATTGAATTACTCTATTCTGCTTTTTGATAATATTACAATATTAGTGAAGTGTGTACTAAAACTGTTGGGGGCTCGATCTACATGAGGACTGGGGAACCACTGATATCAGTGGGGCTGAAAGTGAGTTGGGGATTCAGCTCCCCTCTCTCACTTGTGCCCCCTCTTCCCCTGATTCACCCCCTCTTTACCCTTTATCCACCCCCTGTTCACTCCTGATTCACGTAAAAGACCATAATTTGGGCTTATTGGAAAAGTGGCGTACAGTTACATCGATTATCAAAGGCACTTTAATATTTATAATTTGTAAATTGCAGTTCGTTATATACTTTATAAAATTCTAGATAAAAAGGCAAAGACATATACACAGATATATTATTAAACAAATGTATTAGATATACCAGCTTACGAAATATTGGTCTAGTCGATAATAGTACATGTGAGTGTAGCTAGCAAGCAATTAGGAAATATACTTGGCTTTGAATGAGAAGCTAACAAACGACGAGAGAAATATAATTTAGTTAATGTTAAATGAACACTTGAGTCTTCACACCTCCATCTCATTTCCATTGCTAGGCTGCTCGTTACGTAACTCTCGTCAACAAACTTTCAAGAAACATTGCAATTGTAAATTTTCCCGAGTTTCGATGCTTGAAGGTCGGCCCGGACTGCTCCGCTGTTATACAACACGACGACACTTTGTATAAAACCATTATATATGTATATATTGAAGCATTAATTTGTTTAGTTAATCTAAGTAATAAGTATAAAAGAATTTTTTATAATGGATCACTTAAAGTCTATACACAGATTATTTATTACAGATAATATTGAAGTTGACTTCGTTGAAAAGTGCCTAAGGAAAACTAACAAGGGAAAGTAAAGGTATGTAAAATATTAGAGGAAAATAAACATAACCTTTTTAGAAAAATCTCGTTTGACAAACAGTACATCGTTATTGCTAAACATACATTGCATTCACTATTTGGAAACCTAAAAAATGATGCCTATCATAGTATAATAAGCAGAATCTAATTGGAAAATTCCAAAGACAAAGCCTCAAACATCTAAAATGCAGATAAAACAAACTAACTCTCATCAACGTTTAGTCAAATCAAGATTTGAGGACAGAAACAACTCAAATCATATCATTTATATGGAAATTAATTAAAATACATAAAGAGCCCCATAAAGACACATTTACTTTGGACTGGGACACTGCATCATTTCAATTCAGCTTCTTTCATTTTATTCAACTTTTTTCACAGCAACAAAGACAAAGTTAATCTGAATTTAATGTATATAATAATATATTTTTAGGTCATTTGTTGTCCGATGCATACAATATATTTTTTCTATTAAAAACCAAAGATTCTTAAAAAAAAATTGTATGTATTGAGATTTGACTGCTCGGAAGTTCGATTGTTTTTGCTTACCACTGAATATTGGGTTCCACTAATCTTATTTTAGATTTCCCCTTCTTATCTTATTTTGCTTGTAAATTAGGCGACTATGTATCCATGGCTAATGAATCCATTAAGTTATGTTTTAAGTTAAATAATGTGAGTCAATTAACTATAAACGGTGACAGTAATGGCTATAAGTTCTCGCCTATTATTTACTGCAGGCTCGACTTTACTAGTTTTAATGAATTGTAGCCGCAGTGCGGAAACAGTGCTTTAAATACAGAAAAGCAATGACAAACATGAGGTCTAATTCTCCCCTCTCTCTGACACTATACATTGATATACGTTGTTGGTGCTTGGCCTCTATGACCCATCTATCTACCCTACCTCAGTGCCTGGTGAACGCCTCACTAATGAGCGAGGAAGGGTAGCTTAGCTGACGCCATTAAACAGCTGTTTATAATCTTGCACTGTAGCTGGTCCGGTGACTAATCTTCGATCTCAGTTACGGTCCTCGCTTGGAAACAGAACCAAAACAGAACAGAACATGATGAAGCTACGTTCGATCTGGTCCTATTTACAGCTGGGGCCGATATTTGGGGGGGGGGCGAAACATTAATGTTAGCAGATGGTTTATCAACATTTCTAATGACGACTTCTATTATAGCAAACGGAGAGCAGTCCGGGAACTGAATCATTGTCTTTATTCTCATCTTCATCATTTACATTTTTATGAACCTTATTATAATTAGAAACCATTCCGCCAACTTTCTCCAAGCCTTGTTACTATTTAATATGAACCACTCAATAATATAAATTTACTATTTAATATAATAAATATTACAAAGTATAATAACTATTAAATATTTAAAAATAAGACAAATGGATCAAATTAAAGAATGTTAAAGGCAAGAATTGTATCTTAAACCATTAAGTATAAATGACTTCAAATATAAATTTGAAGATTATTGTATTTTGAAAAGCCTTTTCATGATAAATACAGATATACTTGGACAACTTTTAATTCTGTTCTAAAATGCTGTTTTGCTCCTGTTATGAAATAGTCGATTTGTTGGTAGGAAATGTATCTTTTTAACTAGAGATTTAATAATTATTTCAAATAGCCTTTGATCAATAAGAAAGCATCGATATTCCTAAACACTTACGATTTTTGTTGTAAAATATAGGTAGATCGATAAATAAATTAAAGTTATACGCTTTTCTCTAATAAAATGTGGAACTTTGGCACGGCAAGATGGAAGAAATATTGTAATAAGGCTGTTCAAACTTTTTGTACTTCCGAATCTTTTTCCTTTCTTAGAATGCAATAAAGAAAAGTAATTTTCTATTCAACCATCATTTCTTAAATCTCCAGCACGCCAGTACTATCTTGTCTCGCCTTAACTCCTAAATAACTTTTGTTTAAAATATATCTCCCAAAGCAGAGAATTCTTTCGATGGTTTGAACATGGTGTCGAGAGCAGTCCCCACAGGTGTGTTGTCGGTCAGCCAATGCTAACTCAATCCTCAACAAATAGATCCATCAGGCCGGTACGTAGAAAATTGGAAGAGAGCAGAGGTCATTTCCGGCGAACGTCCTTGCCCCCGATCGTACACTATCGGACATGGTATTTGTTATCGATCGTACACTATCGAACATGGTATTTGTTATCGATCGTACACTATCGAACATGGTATTTGTTATCGATCGTACACTATCGGACATGGTATTTGTTATCGATCGTACACTATCGGACATGGTATTTGTTATCGATCGTACACTATCGAACATGGTATTTGTTATCGATCGTACACTATCGGACATGGTATTTGTTATCGATCGTACACTATCGGACATGGTGTTTATTATCGATTGTTGCAATTTTTTTATGATCTGTAATGACCTGCTCACTACCTTCGCAGAATCGTGACAATTCTACTCTACATCAGCCCTCAGGGTTTCAGTCTGCAAATGGGCAATGTCGTAACTAATATCTTCCATTGAATAGGTTCTTTTATAATCCATACGCAACCATTTTTACCATTTTTTGAGTTTATTGTTCTGAGGCGCATTTTTTAAAAAAAAGTGTTTCTTTATAAATTCAAACCTACCTTGTACCATAAGTTCCTGTTTTTATAACTTGACGAGGTGTTGATGTTTTCTTCCATGGCTGGTAACGATTGATGAAGACAGCTGATGATGAGAGTATATCAGATCTTATTAATAGCGATTGATGAAGTCCAGCTGATGATGAGCCTAAATACACGCCCAGGTATTTTATAGACTTGGAGCAGGTTGACATGTTTTGATTCTGTGTTATAACCTTTATTGTTTTCCAACTTTATTCAGGGCCTTTATAAAGTGTTATTGAATAGAAATATTCAATGTGCTGGTTTGAATTTAAATGGCCGAATTAAAGAATATTTCACATCTAAATAAAAATTAAAATAAAAATTAGCGACTTTTAAGCGCAGTTAATGTATTTGACTTTATGGCTGATTTTATGATTGAACTAAAAATGAATTAGTTATATAAGAATTTAGAAGTGTATATTGCTAATATAATACACAATGAGCAACAGTTATTGTATTATTGTTATTGTTATTGTATTATTAAGTTGGTAGGATTCTGTTTTTTTTTTTTTTTGCATTTCATTTTAATGGGGGATACAATATTCCGTAATTTTGAGCTATTAAAATTTGTTTATAAGTCACTAAATCTGTAGCTCGGAGGTAAAGGACACTATTTCACATTTTTGTTTTTGATTGAGGAGCCAATTGTGTCCATAACTTTGAGCTACTAAAATTGGTTTCTGGTTACTTATTATTTAATAAATTAATTTAATTATTTAATAAAAATTAACTTGTTGTTCTTAACTTCCGGGCCATAGAAATACAATGTTTAAAAACTTTAGGTATATAAGCAAGGAAATACACAATCACACTTCAAGAAATGTCGTAACTACACGTCCAAAAATATTTTCTATTAAATAAATCATAGCATAAATTGACTTATCCTTAATGCAAATAATTACGAGATCGTTTTCTTTTTCAGTTTATCAAACACAATAACCATAGCGCCATCATAAATCAGACTTGGAGAGGATCTAGATGGACGATCGTCTCGCCAATAAAGTAGGCGTGAATATGTCCCCCCCCTCCAAAACAAAAAAAAAAAAAAAAAATCAAAGAAAAAATTAAAATTAAGTTCAACAACAATTAATCTACATGAATGATTAAAATATGTAAACTAAAATTGGAAAAGTCTACTACATGGCTAAGCTGTTTTACCCCCCCTCTCTCTCCTCCCTAAGTTGCTATTATTAAAATTTAAAGTTTATATTCAAAGATGTAGTAACATGTATTTGGAATTTCCTTCTATTTTTACGTGAATATTTTATTACATTTTCGGTGGCATATTTGAAGCATGTGAGCATTAGGAATTCATCGCACTGCGTCAAGCCTTTAGATAAAAATAAACATATTTAATATATTCAATTGCTTTGTTAACATATTTCCTAATAGACCCATATGCAAAAAAAAAAAATAAATAAATAATATTTAACAGATACCATCGATGCAAATGCTAGTATCGAATATGTCGAAAATTTTCAATCCTGCACTCCAGGAATTGTAATTAAGTATTTTAAAGAGCGAATAGAAAATCTTCAAACATTCTTAAAAACACACATTAGTTAGGAAATTAAAACATCCTCGTTGTTTGTGCTGAATTGATAATTATACTAGAGTGGTGATTTTCAGATTCGATAGTTAGCATTTGTATCGACAATATATAAATTTACTTTTATGTACGGTATTATATTGTTCGTTTTACAAAAACTTTGTTGATTATCTTAATTATCATTAATAATTTTTATAAATAACTTGGAGGGTATCCCCCGCCGGCCTAGCGGCGGCCCAACCCCCATTTTACAAAGAATACAATGGAAAGGTGTATAAAAGACAGCAATTGTTGGATAATACAATAGCTGGAACTAGTTACCTCCAGGTCAGCTCCAAAATATGTTTCCAGGTCGGCCGGGGGGGGGGGGGCGCTGCAGCCGCGCCTACGAACCAGCAAGGCGGCGGTGCTCTGCGGCCGTTCCGCTTCGTCTAGAAAATAAAATATTGCACGGCCACTAAACACTTTTTTTATAAAATAACAATAATTAATTAACTTGCGGTCAAATTTAAATAATAGTCAATTCATTGATGGAACAAATGGAAAGTTAAATGAGTAAAGACCAACATAATAATGCTAGTACAATTACGAATGATCGATGTTTATGTATATCATTGTAAGTTATATTATTAATGACAACATGAGATTTATCTTTAGTTGTATAATTACATGTGCTACGATGTCAAGAAAGTAAAGGTTAAACGCGTTCATGTTTTTACATTGCGTGCTGCTAATTCATTTCCTTGCAGTGTTGTAGCTCGCAGACCTGATACAAGCCCCAATCTCGTTCGGAACGAGTTCTTATTTCTTTATTTACTGTAACTATTGTTCCACTACAATCATTGCGATATATTAACAATATCCTTTGTTGACAGGTAAGGATCTACTCTTTAATGGACACTATCCACCGAAGTGTGAGTTCATTTATATATTTCTAATTGTAGCTACATTTTATACTTCGTTAACTTGTCAGTACTTGGAGTTGTACTCATATTAAAGCATTGCTCTGAATATTGCGCCGCCGCAGAGTGAACCTAACGCTGAAATCATTCTACCAAATTAGAATCTTCCACTAGTTTATTTTCGCAAAACACATGTCTCTCCTGGCGAGAGGTACCTGGCGGCGTCGAATGTAGAAGAGATTAATATGTATTTTAAAAAGCATTGCCATAATGGAATTCAGCTCCGAAGTTAATGCTATTGGTCGAGTGTAAACCGATCAATAGGACCATGATTTATATTTGATATTTATAAGCAGAAATCCGACCCTATGGAAATGAGAGTCTGAACAGTGTTCCTTATTTGTGTCTTTTTTACTTCCACTTACCTATATATGAAGTATATATATTAAGGAACAGTATTGCAATCGTGAAAATTTTCTAATCTGAGTTTTCAATGAAAATACATGTTTTGAGGTCTTCTGAGTCCAAATAACCAGGTTATTATTTATTTATTTAACGTTAATTATTAATTTGTTATAATTATTTATTCGAAACAAATAACCATTTCACATTAATATTTGATATAAAAAATAGTTATATATGAAATATGAAATAATTTGATAATTAACTAAAGGAGGAATAAGAGATCTAAACGGATAATAGTTGAAATGGAGGAACCGAAGGATTACAAGCGCGCCCGTGCTCACCCGAAAGGCTTCCAAGTCAACTTGAACCAAAACCTGGTATTTTTATTGTTTTATCTATTACATTTAAAAAATAGTTATTTATTAGTTTGACCCATAAAAACTCTCATATTTATTAATATTCTCCCTCAAAAAATTACAACTGAAATATAATTAATAAACATCATCTTTATAATCGTGGTTGAATTATAATATAAGTTATAAGAAGGTCTTTAGCAACGAAATCTGACCTTTTTTTACCTCTTGGAAGAATTGGGTAATGCTGTCTTAGAATGTATAGTCGTATACAATTATTGTTAAATGATATATTCTCCAGTCACTGTATCATACATTTTCGCTGCTTGGAGAATTTCAAGTTGTATTTTCAACAGTGCTATGATTTTAAAACAGTATTTGTGACCTATATCGATACACTGTCATGGATAACTGGTTTCTATTTTCAACAGTTTGGTGTTGAACATTGGATCCTTTTAAATTATTCAAGATATCGTTTATCCTAATCGACAGTGCCGTAGGTACCCGAGAGAAGAATTTACTTGGCGCTCCTATCGCTTTCATTCATAAATGGCATAAGAACATGATTTGCCATATTTTAAGAGAGAGAAAGACATATAGACGTTTAAGTAGCGATAAATTTCTAATCCCTAACGGAGTTGTTGTAATTTAAATTATTAAACACTGATGTTGTCTGCATTACCGCCCAGGTAGCTCCACCCACGCGACCGCCTTGCTGATCGATAACAATATATAAAGTATTTATATTTTAACTGATTGAATAGTATGCATCTTTTCAATTTCAAATACAATGTTCTTATAACATATATATAATATAATTTACAATTTTTTTTTTGTATCAAATTATATATCAGCAATATTTAAATAAACAAACTTTCAAATTTGAATTAAAAGCTGCAAAAAATATCTGGTAATCAGGTTCGTTGAATTGAAATGACGACGAGGTAGGACAATCGTCACTCGTTATTTATTTATTTTATCTCACGCTCTTCAATTTTGGAGTAGGGTTAGTCAGGAGGGCATGACTCACCTTCCGGTTCGCTACCAGAACAAGCATTGAAGTATTAAATAATTAATCTCAAAATAGTATACAGTTTATTTATAATAAAAAAATAGCCATTAGGCAAAATCCGTCTGGTGTGATGCTAAAAATAAAGTGCAAAAGTAATAAATATATAATAAAAGAAAAATGATGGAGGAATCAACTAGCATTTGCACTTGAAGAAAATAAGAAATGTTATAAATTAAGATATTGTTTTCAGTTGGCAATTTTTGTTTATTAAGAGCTTGTTGTGATCTAATATAACTTATATGTCCTTCCCCTTCTTCTTCGGGAACCACGATTTTCTTTTCTCCTTTAGTTTGGTAAATATTTATAAATAATCACTGTATAAATAGTTACTATAAATAGTTTAGTTTACATTTTATCTATTTTTATTTTGTCATTTATTTTCAAATAAAAAATAATGACAAATATTTGAATGATCGCTGTATTGTTCCCATAATTTATTTTAAGATGGCTTTTTCTGGTTCCCGATGATACTTTAAACATTTTCCTGACTCTGGTGTTCCTAAATGATTGTGTACAATACAGAAGTAAATGATGGTAGTACAATATAGAAGTAAATGATGGTAGTACAATATAGAAGTAAATGATGGTAGTACAATATAGAAGTAAATGATGGTAGTACAATATAGAAGATATTTTGAAAAAAACAGAAAGAATATAAACTCCAGTCAGTACTTTACTTATTTCTTACTCCCATGATATAAGAAGAAATGGAAAGCGAGGAACGAAAAAATAAGGAAAATAATTCAGATAAAAGACTTAATCATACTCATGAAATTTCCTAAATGGAGATTCAACTTAGCGCAGAAGTTGATAAGAACAAAATTGAGAGGTGTACGTCAGAACGAATCATAAAATCCTTGTATATCCAGTTGATATAGCCGCCCTTGGA